GAGAGAGAGAGAGAGAGAGAGAGAGAGAGAGAGAGAGAGAGATGAGCGATACAAGTTTGGTTGTCACTTACCTGTGAAGCGAACTGTGCAGTCCCATGAAGAGGGAAGAAAGCGGCCATAGCCGCAGAGCATCATCACGGAATAGTGAAGGAGGGAGAAAGACCGGACAGAGTGGGAGAGACCGAGAAGGAAGAGAAAGGGAAGCCATAGCCGAGAGGTGAAGGGAAGGCTGATCAAAAAAAAAAAAAAAAAAAAAGAAAGAAGACAGCGGGGTGAAAGGAGGCGAGGAAGGTGAAGAAGAAGAAGGGAATTGGTGAGGAAGAAGACCTGGCAGCTATAGCTGACCGGAGGGTTGACCAAGAAGGTTGACCGAGGGTGTTGACCGGCGTTACCAGGGTTGATCGGGGGTTGACCGAGGGTTGACCGGAGCGTTGACCGGTGTTGATCAAGACTTCGACCAAGCTGGAGTTGGTAACATCTCGCCAAGCCCTCAGCCTACCCCTTGCCCTATGGATGTGCACATACCCCTTGGTACTTGCTGAGTACAGTCTGCCCGTCTATTCTTTCTGCATCGAGTCTCTTCTGTCCTAGGCGATAGTACTCTCTGGATGAAGGATAGGGCCTGTATTACGAAACCCCTATCTGGCTTAGTAGAGCTGCTACCGTGTCTTATCTCACTGTCCCGGAGGCCTAACCCTCCCAAGGACCGGTGCTGACCGGCAGGGCTCGGATTGGGCGTGACACGGTGGGCTTGAACAGCGGAGACGTGGGCTGACACAACAGGCAGTCTTTAAGTGTTGAGGGCCTGTTTGAACCACTCCCCTACTGGACCAAGTAAGGCTGAGGATCAGTGTGTGACGACTCGACTGTCCTGGGGGATATGAACCCTCCCAAGGGCCGGTACAGACCGGCGGGCTGTTCGGTGTGGCACAGTAGGCCGGAAAGGCCGAGTTGTGGGTTGAAAGCACAGGCAGAACCAAGCTGATCACATCGTCCTGTCTGCGACATTAAAGAATTTTTGTGGAGTTACGGGGGATCTCCTTAAATGGCTCCAGATCAGCCACTGGTTCAGTAGTGACAGCCATAGTTAGGTCTAGGCTAGAGACCATAGTTGACAGGATCCTTGTCAGGATTCTGTGAGTCTTAGATTGAGTTTATAGGTTTGTTAGTCAGGGGTTAGAGTCTACGTGGTGAGGTTTGGAACCACTAATCCGGTTGTACACTTATCACCATGGTTGACGCCCGGAGCGGGTTGAGCACTAGCCCCTACACTCAGGAGCAGCAAGAGAAAATGGCCGCCCTAGTGAGAGAGAACAAGGAGAGGAAAGAGCTCCTGAAGCAGGCGAAGCTGAAGGCAATCGCAGAGGAACAAGCAACGAAGATGAAGAAACTGGCGGAGGAGATGAAGAGAGTTCAGCAGGAGGAGGAAGAGAGGAGAAAGGCTGCCGAAGAAGAAGCAGCAGCAGAAGAAGAGAAGCAGTGAAAGCGTATTGAAAGTAGAGAGGAGAGTAGTGGCACGAAAAGGGATGAAGACGTAGAGATGGAGAAGAAGATTAGCGAGTGGATAGCTAATTTATCGTTGGGGGAGGATGAGGAGGCAGAGTTCTATGTGCCCCAGGACGAGAGGATGCGTTAGCCCAGGAGCTAGCAACAATGGAGGACCCCTTGCAAAGACAAGAAAGAGAGGAGGAGAGAAAGTTGGAGTGGAAATTGAGAATGAAGAGGGAAAAGAAGAGAAGAAGGGATGACGTTAACAGGTTGACCGCAGAGGTGGCGAAGGTGAAGGATTGTAGGCAGGAGGTGGAGGCTAAGGCAGACGGCTCGGCCAAAATGGATAAGGTGTTGGGGTACTTGGAGGTGTTGAGCGCAGCTTGGATGGAGGAACGCCAGGCCAATAGAGCTCAAGAGGTAGCCCTGAAGGCCATGAGGTCCGGTTTTCGGGATTTTGGGCGCGAGATGGCTACCCACGTTGGAGGGGAAGTTAGGCGGTTGAGAGACAACGTGGGGAAGTTTTGTGAGGGCGCTATTGATAGCGCCAAAGCAGTTGCTGCTGTAGAGAGCGAGGCGAGACCCCGTAAGGACCCAGGCAAACTTAAGTTCCCATATGCGTATGGAGGGAAGAAGGAAGAAAATTTCGATAACTGGGAGGCTTGTGTGAATAGATACGTGTATCTACAACACATCCTGACTGAGGAGCAAGTCCTCGTAGCCTTCTAGGCCCTTAAGGATGAGGCAGCTAGTTTTGCCAGGTCCCTCGCGCGCGCAGTCGGTTGTGAAAACAACCTGGTTGCATACTCTAAAACCACTCCCCTCCCTCAATTCTTTAAACTCCTGAGGGAGCGATTTGCTGACCCAACGAGAGGCGTTAGAGCCTCTGATAAGTTACAGACGATCCACCCAGGCTAGTGGAGGAGTGCAAGAGCACTCAAGGGCGTTATGGACGACTTGGTAGCCGTCCTAGACCACGGGGTCACTGAGCCTCAGTTGGTCCAATTGTTTTATCGTGCCATGCCCGAGCCCCTACGTGGGCATTTCTTTGAGAAGTCTCAACAGGCCGAGATCACCTATGATGTGCAGAGTAGAGAAGTGGTCCTGTATGAGTCAAAGTCCATGCCAGTGTCGACTTTATGGCACAAGCACTTGGACAAAGGAAAGAAGTGGAAAGGGCGTACCATCTCTGGCCAAGTCAGGGCCAAGGATCACATGATCCTCACGTTAGAAGAGGGTGGTACCGATGAAGTCCCCTACAGCAGCGTAGGGCAGGGGAGGTCTTATGCGGTTGTCGCGGCTGGAGGGAGGCCGCAAGGTAGAGGAGGAGGCTAGGGCCAAAGGGGCCAGGCCATGGGAGGTTGAGGACCGGGCGCACAGGGGGTTGGCGGACAAGGGAACCGCCAAGTGGGAGGTAGGGGTCAAGGTCCCCCGCCATATCGCCAGGGTTCTTGTCGGTCCCCACAGCGACGAGGTGGAAGGTCACCTCAAGGAGGATGGCCCCCAGGCTTGCCACAGGGCAGGCCCTGGGAAGATTTGGGCTTGGACCAACGCATATGGCAGGAACGCGTGAACTTGGGTTAGTGCGTATTTTGTGGTGACCCGGCCCACGTATTTTAATTTTGTCCTCAGTACAGACAGGCCCGATGGGCTGCCCAGCAGTCAAAAGGCAGCCGCCAGTAGGGGTCACAACTGCCCCTACTTCAAGGCCATGTGGGGAAGAGAGCGCGCGCACATAGGAAACTCCCCAACCACATGAGCCTATGGCAGAGGTTGCAGGCCCGTGCCTAGCTAGCTGTCCAGAGACCGCTCGTGTTAGCGTCTCTCTAGGCACGTCCTTCACAGGCGTGGCAGAAGAGTTGAAGGAGAGAATGCCTGCCTGGGCCAAAATGAAGAAGGAGAGTAAGGGACAACTAATCTTAGTTGATGTAGAGGTTTTCAGGAGTAGAGTAGGGGCCCTTATAGACTCAGGGGCTACCCGTAGCTATATTAGCCGTAGAGCGCTGAAGAAGCTGAGGCTAGGATTAAAAGTCCAAAAGTTGGCAGACCCCATAGTCAGTGTCCTCGCAGACAACCGCACAATGCGAGTTGAGGACTACATAGAGGGAGTCCAAGCGTACTTTCACCTAGAGAAAGATGGGAAGGTGGAGAAAGTTCTCCATTCCCTGACTGTTCTCGTTCAGGATGACCTTCCTTTTGACATGGTCTTAGGAATGGATTGGGGAGAGGCAGCAGGGGGCACACTCCATTTGAGAGAACACGAGTGTAGGCTCCCTAGTCCGTTAGGTGAGGTCAAGACTGCCCGCCTGTTTCATGTGTCAGGTGTAGACAACAGTCTGGCACATTGCTGCCTCAGTGCTCCCGCGTCTGCGTGATTAGTGGCAAAAGAGCAGTTGGAGGATCAGGTCTTTGTAGTTTATGTTAGACCTGTCACTGAGCCTAAGGAAGGAGATAGTTCCATGGATCCAACCATTGCCAAGCTGCTGGAAGAATTCAAGGATTTAACTGAGTCGCCGACAGGAGTAGTGCCGCGACCCATCCAGCACAGGATAGAGATAGAGCCTGACAGTAGAACTCCTAAGGGAGCAGTCTACAGGATGTCCCCTAGAGAGTTAGAGGAGCTACGCAAGCAGTTAGACGAGCTCCTTGAGAAAGGTTGGATCAGGCCCAGTTCATCTCCTTTTGGAGCGCCAGTCCTGTTTGTCCCCAAGAAGGAAGGAGAGCTTCGTATGTGTATAGACTATGAGGGTTCGAATGCGATTACTGTGAAGAATGTTGAACCGCTGTCGAGGATAGACGATCTTTTAGATCTGGTGCAGGGTTGTAAGTATTTCTCTAAGATAGATTTGAAGTCCGGGTATCATCATATGGAGGTCCATCCTGATGACCAGTACAAGATTGCGTTCCGGGCTAGATATGGGCATTATGAGTTCATAGTGATGCCCTTTGGACTAACCAATGCTCCAACCACCTTTCAAGGTTGTATGAATGATCTGTTCAGACCATGGTTAGACAAGTTTGTCGTAGTTTATCTGGATGATATATTAGTTTTCAGTAAGACCCTCCAGGAGCATCAGGGTCATCTGAGGTAGGTCTTGGAGAAGTTGAGAGAGTCAAACTTCAAGATCAACGTGAAGAAGTGCGAGTGGGTCACGTATTAGACGGAAATGGCATCAAGCCTGAGGACAGCAAGATAGCGGCAAATAGAGATTGGCCAACGCCCCGCACATTGACAGAGTTGCGGTCGTTCTTAGGCCTAGCTAACTACTATAGAAAGTTCGTGAGGAACTTTTCTACTATCGTCGCTCCCTTGCGCAGGTTGCTTAAGAAAGAGGGAATCTGGCAATGGGATAGAGATTGTACGTATGCGCTCAAGAAGTTAAGTGCGCGTTAATAGAGTACCCTGTCCTCAAAGTTGCAGATCCGTCTTTGCCATTTGTCGTCACCACGCACGCGAGTCAGTATGAGATAGGCGCCGCGTTACAGCAGGACGACGGCAATGGCTATAGACCCATATAGTTCATGTTAGCGAGGATGCCCTCAGAGAACGTAGCCACCTCGACATACGAGAGAGAACTCTACGCTCTTAGGCAGGCCTTAGAGCATAGGAAACATACCTGCTTGGGAGGCACTTCAAAGTGTATTCTGACCACGAGACGCTTCGATGGTTAAAGACTCAGGCCAAGATGACACCTAAGTTGACTAGGTGGGCCGCTGAGATAGACCAATATGAATTTTAGCTCAAGCCCGTCAAAGACAAGTATAACGTAGTTGCGGATGCTCTGAGTAGGAGATCAGACTACTTTGGAGCTATAGTACACAATCTGGATATAGGGAGAGACCTGCAGGAGAAAGTGAAACAAGCGTATACGCAGGACCCTATCTATAATGACCTCCTAAAGAAAGTTAGAGAGGCCCCAGAGACTGAGCCAGACTACCGCACTACAGAGGGTTTACTATTCGAGAATAATGTGTTCGACCGTCTGTGCGTCCCCAACAGCGAGGAGATCCGTAGTCTGATCCTAGGGGAATGCCATGACACAGAGGGACACTTCGGTTGGCAAAAGACATTAGCCAATGTGATGCGTGCGTATACCTGGTCGGGGATGAAGAATGACTGCATAGAGTATGTTCGCAGTTGTAAAGTGTGCCAGAGGAATAAGACTTCTACGTGCGCACCCCTAGGTCTTCTCAGACCTCTGCCTATTCCTGATCAGCCTGGAGATTCCGTGTCCATAGACTTCATGGATACTCAGGTCAAGAGTAGGCATGGCAGGAGCTAAGCCATGGTCATACTTGACCGTTTCAGCAAGTATGCAATTTTTATTCCTTTGCGTGCAGAGGCACGTACCGAATTAGTCGTTCAGAAGTTTTTTTATTTTTGGGTTAGTGAACATGGAGTCCCATTGTCTATAGTTAGCGATAGAGATAGTCGCTTCACCAGCCAAAACTGGAAGGAACTTATGAGAGTCTATGGGTCAAAGTTGCTGATGTCGTCTGGCCTCCATACAGAAACTAACGGTCAGACTGAGCAGATGAACAAGATCCTGCAGCAAGTTCTGCGCATGTACATTAGACCGGATCAGATCAACTGGGACGAGATGTTACCCAAGGTAGCTAGTGCTTATAACAACAGCGTGCATTTGTCTACCTGTCGCACTCCCAAGGAGTTGCACAAGTCCTTTAGACCGCGCAGACCGTTTGAAGGGCTGAACCGGGATCAGATTCACAGACTACCGCCCGGTACCAGGGAGTTTGCAATACAGCACGAGAAAGAGATAGCAACTGTTGTCGAAAACCTAAGGCCCAGCACAGAATGATAGAACAGGCTAATAAGCACCGTCGCCCATCGCAGTTTCAGGTAGGCGACTTAGTCTGGGTCAAGTCTAAAGAGTTTGCACCTGAGGAGAACATCTCACAGAAGTTAGTGCCTGCATATAGAGGACCGTGGCCGGTTCTAGAAGTCAGGGGCGGAGAGGACGGACCATCCTACACCATGGAGATTCCAGCACACCTCCATACCTACCCAGTGTTCCATGCTTCAAAGTTGTTGCCGTGTGTCACAAGTCTGCAGTTCCCTTCAAGAAGATCCATGATCCCTCTGGATATGGATGGCACATATGACATTGACGACATTGTAGATGAAGATGTATTCAGGACAGGAGGTACAGGTCGTCCACAAAAACAGTATAAGGTCCGGTTTGCTTATCAAGAACCGGAAGACGACCGCTGGTTTACTAGAACAAAACTGCTAGAAACAGCTCCCGACATAGTCAGAGCCTACGAGCGTGATAAGAAGGGCAAAGGTCCTGCCTTGGACTGAAATATTCTCGGAGGACCTCGAATTTAGGACGGCGTGAGTGAAACGGTTTTCACCTCTTTGCAGTAGCAGATGCAGATCCCAGGGCTCGATCCCTAGACCTTCCCCTACCTGTGTACAGTACCTGTGTAGGCCCCGAGAGCTGAACCTGTGACCCGTGTATTCGTAAACAGTTGGTAGGTTGTCACAGGTCCGTAAGTAGCAGGGGTTTGATCTGTAGATCTGTAGAATAAAAGTCTTAGCGAGTTCCAAAAGTCTTAGCTGTAGCCCTTCTAGAAGTTCAGCAAGTGGGCAAGTGGGCAAGTGGTGAGTCAAGTGGTGGACTAACTGCAGTGCAATTGCAGTACGATCTCGGTAGGTTAGTAGCGAGTCCCCATTTAGTCAGCGGTAAGGTCCAGTCAGTCCCAGTCCGGTCCAGCAAGTACCACAAGGGACTGTGAGCACCATGGGCCGATGGGAAACGGCAAACCAACGAGTTTGAGAAGTATAAATCAAGAGGCAGCGCCCAACTTTTCATTCATTCCTGTGTGAGCCATGAGGAAGCGCTGCCACAGCGACTTGTGCAAGGAGGTCTGCAGAGAGCCCGGAGCTGAAGTGGGCGAGAGAGGAGCGTAGCCTAGCGATAGGATAGTTGCGGCCATAGCCGCCATAGCTAGAGTTAGTGTGAAGTGTGTGTGTGTGTGTATGTGTGAGTGTTCAAAGTGACGCGTGTGGGATATCCAGGGTGATCTGGTGTATGCGACAGAGAGTTGTTTGGGCGCTGAGTCCCCATAGCCATTAGAAGTGAACTCTTATCTAGGTTGCCATATCTCTGAGTTTTGAGTGGGCGCATGTCGCCAGTTTGCTGCGCTACTGTTGCATGCATGTAAAGTGTGAATGAAAGCAAGTCTGATTGCAGGACACCCATTGACCATGGTTAGTGATAGAGACACGCGGTTCACCGACTGTTTGTTAGTCTACTCTGCCGTTAGTTATAGTCTTCAGTTGATGAGAGTCTACGAGTCTAGACTAACCATGTCATCTGGCAAACATCCCGAGACTAATAGCAAGTGCTTCGCATGTACATTAGGCCAGGTCAGGTAGATTGGGACGATCTTCTACCTAAGGTAGCTAGTGCCTATAACAACTTAGTGCATCTAGCATCTAGTTGGACACTGGATGAGGTGCACAAGGGGTGGTGTTCCCGATGATCGATGGACTGCCTGAATTTTTAAAGACTGCCACCTGGCACTAGAGAATTTGCTGTTCACTATGAGGAGTTACAAAAAGTTGGTTCTCAACCCGGAAGGCCCAACATCAGATGGTAGAACGGGCAAATAAGCACAGTAGATCCGGAAGGCCCAGCATCAGATGGTAGAACAGCAGATCGTCAACGTTTGCTGCTGGAGGTCTTGTCTGGGTTAAGTCAAAGGAGTTCATGCCAGAGGAGAACATTTCTCAGAAGTTGTTACCTGTGTATAGGAGGTTTTAGATGTCATTGTGATGCAGCAGGTCCCTCTTACACCATTGATATTCCGCTGCCTCATGTTACAAACGACCCACGATCCCCTTATGGATTGATGTTATGATATTGAAAGCATCATAAAAGAAGATACCTATTGGGGAGAAGGGGTAGACCGCTGCGGCAGTTTAAAGTCAGGTTCGCCTATCAAGAGCAGGAAGATGACCGATGGTACACTAAAGTCGAGTTGATGGAAACTGGACCTCATATTGTATCTCACTATGAGCGTGCTAGGCAAGGGGATAACCTTGTACGCAGGTGAAGATAGAATCTTTCTCGAAGGACCTCAAAATTAGGCCGGTGGGAGTGAAAAGATTTCACACAGTCAGTCCCCAAAAGGTCCTGGTCCCAGTTGATCTGGTAGGCTACAGTACCGGCAGGGTAGGCCTAGGGTTTGTAGGATGAGGTCCTAGGTAGGTAGCTACGGTACCTGCAAGCATGCAAGTCCCTAAAGTTCAATTTTGCAGCAGCCTCCCAACGTAAGTCGGGAACATTCCCAAAATGGCAATATGACAAAGGCAGAGGCTGCAGCTGTCCAGATGTAGCTCAGTGGTTAGAGCACCGGTTGGAAATGCGCATTATTGTGGTATGAGATTGCGAGTTCAAAACTCAATTGTAGCCTTGTGCATGGACACCGGCAGGGCGTTAGAATGACGCATGGCTGGACACACATTCCCTTACGGTAAGCTTATGCAGACACTGCCTGTGCACCACCCAAGGGTTGTCCTTGGTGTTGTATGTTGGTTCTTGATACTGCGTGGGTTGCTTGTGGTTGTTGCTCGTGGTTGTTCTGTTGATCTCCCCAGTCTGGGATATCACACACAGGGGCCATTTGTTTGTGATTGTTGCGCAAATGGTAGTCTTCAGGTCACATGTCATAGATTACGGGTTCGAGTCTGGCTTGGGACTTTGGGGGGGGTCACCGGCAGGGCGTTAGAATGACGCACAGCTGGACACACATTTGCTTGGGCTGACGCACGGTAAGCTTCAGACACTGCCTGTGCACCACCCAAGGGTTGTCCTTGGTTTTGTATGTCGGGTCTTGATACTGCATGGGTTGCTTGTGGCTGTTGCCCGTGGTTGTTCTGTTGATCTCCCCAGTCTGGATATCACACACGGTGTCCATTTGTGATTGTTGCTCGAATGGTAGAGTCTTCATGTCACATGTCATAGATCACGGGTTCGAGTCTGGCTTGGGACTTTGAGGGGAGGTCTTGTCCAGCTTGGCCTGTCATCTCTTCAAACGAACACATAGTTCCCTCTACATAGTACTGCAAATATCTGGCCTTTGGGCACATACATCTCACTATACAGTTACACAGGGCACACATAGACTGCACATATCTGGCCTTTGGGCTCATACATCTCGCTATAGAGTTACACAGAGCACACATAGCCTTCGGGAAATTACAAAACACATGGCCCTATGGGCTCATACAAACATACGTAGCTTCTGGGCACACACATACACACAATTACAATACTGGGCTGGTGGGGTCTATCAGGTATATGACGGGGTCTACTCACGCATGGCTTAGCTCTAGGGTAGGGGTAGGGATACAAGTCGCTCCGGCTAGTCTGAGTTCCGCCTAGCCTTGAGTAGGCTAGGGGAATGACGGTAGGATGTGTCTGCGGGTGCTGGCCTGCCTTGCTTAGGTTATCCTGCTGGGTAGACCCTCTGAATTGGGCCTGTAGAAGATTGCATGAGCCTAGCGTCCAAAGTTCCCGTACGGCAAGGTTCGTCGCTCCGGCTAGTCTGAGTTCCGCCTAGTAAAAAGGCCTTTACCCGATTCAGCCCCTGTTCGACGAAAGCAACATATTGGGGTCCCTCGCCCAAAGTCCAATTCGTGAAAGCAGATCAAGAGGCATGTTCTCTGGGTCAAAGGTCACATCCTGGCTAAAAAAAAGACAATGTCAAGGGTCATGGTTGAGCCCTGGACGAACAGTCACCTTGTTTAGATTTGGAGGTCACATCTGTTCGTCAGGAGCAATACAAGTCATGTCTGTTCAAACAAGGGATGTGTCTGT